TCTGTCACAGCGACCTCAAATCCTGGCTCAAGCAGTCCTTCTGCCTCAGCTCCCCAGGTAGCTGGACCACAGGTGCGCACTGCTACGGCCAGCTAAATTTTCTATTTTTGTAGAGATGGGGTCTTGCTCTTTCTCAGGCCTGCCTTCAACTCCTGACCTCAGTCTGTCCTCCTGCTGGCCCCAGAGAGCTAGATTATTATAGGTGTAAGCCATTTGTGCCGGCTATTTATACATTTTGGCCAACTAAATTATTTTCATTTAAGTGTAGATTTTGCGTGTGGTTGTTTGTGTTTAATGTTTATGCAGAGTAGACTTTGGTTTTATTCCAATACAGTGATCTTACGTTAAATGAACATAGTTTTCTCTAGTAATGAGAAATTATTAACAATTTTAGTTTAAGTTTGTTCCCATAAGTTTTTTTTTGTTTGTTTTGAGACAGAGTCTTGCTTTGTTGGCCAGGCTAGAGTGAGTGCCTGGCGGTAGCCTAGCTCACAGCAACCTCACAACTCCTGGCTCAACAATCCTCCGCCTCAGCCTCCAAGTAGGTAGGACTACAGGCATTCGCACCATGCCCAGCTAATTTTTGTATATATATTAGTTGGCAATTAATTCTTTGCTATTTATAGAAAGACGGTCTCGCTTTGCTCAGGCGGGTTTCGAACTCTGGACTCGACAATTCCGCCGCCCTGCAGCCTCCCAGAGAGCTAGAGATTACGGCGTGACACCGCGCCTTGGCCCTAGTTTGTTAAAATACTTTTACACTGCTTATATTTGTGTTGAGTATTATGGTCTGTGTAATAGTTATTTAGCTAGTACTATTAATGCATTTATTATATTTAATTTTTTTTTTTTTTTTTTTGTGGACAGAGTCTTGCTTGTTGGCCATGCTTAGTGATGCCATGACTCAGCCTAGTCGACGCAACCTCAAACTCCTGGGCTCAAGTGAATCCTTCTGCCTCAGCCTTCATATGTAGCTGGACTACAGGCATGGCGCGCACATGCCCGGCTAAATTTTGTTAATTTATTGGCATATTATTTCTTTCTATTATAGTTAGGACGAGAGCTCGCTCTTGCTTCAGCTTTGTTTGAACTTCCTGACCTGAGCATCCGCCACCTGGCTCCAGAGAGTAGATTACAGTGCCTACGCGCGAGCCGTGGAGTTATTTTAATTTTAATATTTTTTGTGAGTATTGCCGCAATAAGAGACCCAGCACCATGGTGATCAGGTGTTGTAGTAGTTGAGCAGGCTCAAAACTTGTAGGTGTCCTGACATAACCCTTTCTGGCATTATAATGAATCAATAGCACATACTTTTAAGCCTTAAGAAAATTGAATCCCCACTTAATAAAGAGAATTGACATAGGAGGTGCTATAATTATATATTTTGGTGAGGTTGCAAGCTTAGAAACTTTAAATTACCTACATACATGTGAATCCAAAGTGGATTTAAAGTGTTTTGGAGTTTAGAGGACTACTGAGTGAGTAAGGATTTTTAAAAATAACATAATTACAGTTGTTTGATGCTTTTGCGTATGGCCTAATCTCTTAAAGGATTCATTATTGCTACCTGTAAAAGATTAGTGCCTGTTTGTTTATGATGGCACTTCACAGGCCCAGCAGTAGAAAGCTTCTTGTTCTTCCTCTGCCACTGGTGGGCTGTGTTCTTCTGGGCAGGTCACCTGGGCTGTCTGGCCTCTGGTTCTTCCTTTGTTGGTGTTCCTTTCCACACTACCGTGTTTCCCCGAAAATAAGACCTACCCATAAAATAAGCCCTAGCAGGATTTCTAAAGCATTTCGGTAACAGAAGCCCTACCCCAAAAATAAGCCCTAGTGATGGGGGGCATGGCTATGAAAATCAGTCCCAGTGATGGGCGTGGCTATGAAAATCAGCCCCAGTGGTGGGCGTGGCCATGAAAATCAGCCCTAGTGGTGGGCGTGGCTATGAAAATCAGCCCCAGTGGTGGGCGTGGCTGCGCAGCTCATCTGCACAACCCAAGCGTGTCCTTGGGGAGAGGGAAAGAACACGAGTAGCCCTTCTCATCTGCCCCATGGTGAAAGCTACTGCCCCAGAGGTGACTGGAAAGGTGCGGGCAGCCCCCCAGACAAGGTCAGCTCCCCCTGTCAGGTCCCGGCCATCCTGTGCGTGCTGCAAGCTGAGGCTTTGAGGGGAAAATAACGCATCCCCTGAAAACAAGCCCTGGGGTGTCTTCTTGAGGAAAAATAAATGTAAGACCCTGTCTTAGTGTCGGACAAACACGGTAGATCCTTGAGATGATAGTGATAACTGAGTTCTAGCACGAATTCTTTTAGCTTTCCTCAGTTTCTCAAACCCTGGGTACCAATGTTTGTGAGTGGAGATCATGGGACAGGGTGACTTTTGACATGTTGTAATAGGTGTGTGGTCAACACTCGATGAATCGGCTGCATTTTTAATGCCAGGCCCTGCTTCCTGCTTCCTCTTCCTGTGTAAATGTTTCCTCCTCGTTTGTTTCCCTCTGTTCCCCAGCCAGTAAGGACGGGACTTAAAGGAGGTCAATTTGTTTAATATTCGCCTAAGGAAAATAGGAATACTGATACATAGCCATTATTTGGTTTGTTAAAAAAGTATGCCAAAATTATTTTGTGTTATCTGCTCTTTTCTTCGGGAGGAGACAGCTTAATTTGTATATCTGCAGATTAACTTGTTTTATTGTCTTGCTCTTAAGGAAAACATCCACACACACAGATTTCACTTTGTAAATTGCATAATTTAGGAGGTGATTAATTATCGTGCACAGGACTCAACACTTTAAAAAGAATCCCCACAAATATTTTCGCAAAGTATTCAAATTACTTAGTACATTTTAAATGTTCGAGTTTAGAAAAACAATTAATTCGCCAGTTTTAATTTCCCTAACACTACCTTATTGATTTCTTTTTTTTTTTTTTTTTTTTAATTTTTAATTTGACATCAGTATAAGCCCAGGAAGTTGCAAAATATGTACAGGGTTTTGTGTACTCTTCACCCACCTTTCCCCAGTGGTAACATCTTATATAATTATAGTACAATAACTGGTTAGATTTATTACTAAAAGCATAGTGATCTTACTCATTCTGAAAAATGTTAAATACAAGAACGTTGATATTTTGGCCCTCCTTAGAGGGTTAAGATATTGGCGTTTACAAATTCAGCTTCTGTGCCTTATTTCCACGGGCCGCACACCCAGGATGTGTTTCTTCCCTGCCTTTTTTATAAAAGGGGTGACAGGTAACTTGGCAAATGGGCGATTATTTTCCACTGGGTAATTCAGTCACAGCCCTGGACGTAGTCACGTCGAAATTTTAATTACGTAGCATTCTTCTTAATTCCTCCTTGCTGGACTTCTTTATTTAATCACTACTATATTTGCTTACTGGGAAATTTCTTAACATGTAAAAGAAATAAAGTAAGACATACTGAGCCGTTAGCCAAGGAATATTCATTGAATATCTACTTTCACTTTACTGAATATAGAGGAGATTTTGGAAAAGTAAAGGGGTATTTTGTAATGTAGCAAACAGCTATAGAGTGTTACTACATATCGTATAATGTATTTCCGCACATTTTATGTCTCTGTAAACATATAACATAGGCATGTAATTGGCCTTCAATAAACATTTATTAAGTGCATAAGTATACATAGATAATAAGCATATTGTTAGAAAATTCTGTAAGTCTTAAGAAAATAAATATTTACTGTCCATCTGAGGAATTCTAAGACTGTTCACTGTCGAGTGAAAGAATGATAGGATGTGTTTTATTGTGTTTCTTTTTTCTGTTCAGCCTATAAATCGAAGGTAAATTTACTGGGTCTCTGTCTTACTCTGAAGTCCAAGTTCTTTCCGCATGGTATGGGTCATTAAAACATATTGTAATGTGATTTAGATGATAAATGCCATAGGTAAATAAACAAATATGGTATAAAAATAAAGTCTGTATCATTATTTTTAGAATAATCATTTTATATTGATTGCTAATTTTATTTAGCTTGATTGATTGGTGTAATGACTAAATTACACCAGTAATTTCTGATAGGTACAAAAGTTCTATGGACAGTTAAGGAGTAGAAAGATTACTTTTGGTGGAATTGTTTTGGAGAAATCTAAGATGATATTTGATCTGAATATCAAGGGGATTGATTGAATTTTTTTGAGAATTGTGAAATTTACTTATATTAATATTATAGAAAATTATAAATTTGTTTGATGTCACTATCAGTAAATCAGAAGGGCTTTTTGGAGGGGAAAAAGCCCAAGTTTAATATTTAAGCAATGAAGAAAGGATTGGGAATAAAGTAAAATACTTAGAAAACAACTTTTGCTTCATTTTGCAAGTAGGTCATCATAAAAATTATTTAAATATGACTCCCTTAGCATGTATTCTTTTTTAAAAAATAAATTTGGGCATATTTAAGATATACACATGCTATTATGAGATACATATATGTGTATAGTAAAATGGTTACTATGGTGAGAAAAATGAGAAAAATTAATCTATCACTATGGTGACGGATATTAAAATTAATATCCGTCATCTCAGAAAGTTACCCATTTTCCCCACCTGTGGCAAGAGCAGCTATAACCTACTCTTTTAGCTAAAATCTTGAGTACAATACACTATTACTAACTACAGTCCTCAGGTTGCACATTAGATCTTTAAACTTGTTCATTCTATATATCTGCTACTTTGTATCCTTTGACCCTACGTCTCCCCATTTTTCCTCCCCTGGACACCCTAACCCTGGTAACCACTGTTTTATTCTCTATCACTGTGCATATTTGACCTTTTTTTTTTTTTTTTTTTTTTCCCCAAATATAAATGAGATCATGCAACATTTGTCTTTCTGTTCCTGGCTCATTTCACTTTATCATGATGTCCTCCAGGTCCATCCATGTTGTGGCAAATGGCGGGATCTCCTCCTTTTTTAAGGCTGAATAAGATTCCATTGTATGTGTGTGCCACAGTTTCTTCATTTGTTTATTGAGGGACACTGAGCCCGCTTCCATATCTTGGCCACTGTGAATAATGCTGCAGTGAACATAGGAGTGCAGACATCTTCACGATGTGGTGACTTCCTTTCCTTGGGGTATGTACCCAGAAGAGGGATGACAGGGTCATATGGTAGTTCTATTTGTAATTTCTTTAGGACCTTCCATACTGTTTTCCATAATGGCTGCACCAATCTATGTATTCTTTTTAAAGATAATTTGATCTGTTGAATTAATGACAGATGTCATTTATATATACATATATATTTAATATATTTCAATTAATTTGCTAAATCCAGAAATAAGTTACGAGTTATCTCTTCGGTTAAGATGAAAACTGATTTATTGCTGTTTTATTATTTTTGACGCTACGACGTTTAAAGTATTTCTGTGACCTCTGAGTGAAACAGAATTGAAAAAGTTTTCTTGATAATTGTGGAGTTCAGCATTACTGAGAGGTAGCTATCAGAGGCAGGCTGAAGGAAGAAGGGAAAGGAGGATTTGGGTGAATGGCAACATGATAGGAGGAAAGAGGAAAAAAGAGGGAGATTGAAAATAAGAGTTTTACGTAAAAAGGTGTTGTTTTGCCTCGGATCATTCAGCAAAACAGCTGCCACATTGGACCTTGTGAAACCCGAAGCATTTCTGAAAGCTAATTTCTTTATCAGACCCATAGAGATCAGAAAATCGTGTCAGTTTGCTTTAGTTACGCAATAAATATTAATGAAAAATTGGTGTCGTAACATTCATTCATGTTCTCTACCTCCACGGAGACCTAGATCTACATCTGAGTCACCGGAGTAAATAAGTTCGCTGCTTGTCTAGGGTTGCGTAACCACCACAGGGATTGGCATAGACGTCAACACTTTCAGGAGCACGTGCGGAAGCCTGTCAAGGCATGGCAGCCACTGAAAATGCATCAAGGCCACGACAACCGCCGACATGTATTTGTGTGGTCGGGTCAGGGCAGGGAAGAAATCGACTGCATTGCCATTCTGAGATGACACCAGTGATCTCTGTTCATAGCTTGGGGAATAGTGTTGTACCATTCTTAGCTTTATTATTCCTTCCTCTATGGATTTTCATGCACTTTTCGTTTTCTCAACCTCGACTGATACTTTTATAAAAAATGAGCCACTTCCCGACTGCTGCTTGGCACTGTTGAAAGGTCTTTGAAAGGGTTCTCGTATTCTAGCTTTCTTCCTACTCTGCTGGTTGACACCCACTTTATTAGCACGCAGTTTAATAGTTGCTTTGCATATCCTGATGTCATCCGACAAACCATTCCAGTCCAGTGAAGATCTTGTTTAGCAAGCACTGTTTTAATGGAAGAAGACTGGCTGCATTCCAGCATCTAATTGTTACTTTGGTGGTGTTATTTAATGTCAAGTATGGCTTATAGATACTAATCACATCTATGTGTGCTTGAGTTTTGTTAAAGTTTAGAAGTGCTTTTACATAGCATGTTAGGTGTCTTGATGTCAAGGTACATCTATTTTTTTTTTTTTTTTTGTCTCATCCTAAGTAACAGAAGCTAGTCCTGTGCACAGGCTTTGAGTCAGACTTCTGTATTCCATCATCTGTTATCGTTAAGGGATCAATATAAAGTAATATTTTTCTAAAAAAATTTTTTTAAAGATGGTAAAATGACTAAATTAGTAAAGAGTGCTCTGGCTTAATGGAGTTGTGGTTAAGACTAAATTTAATTATTTTTTTCCCATCAGATAATCTTGTTTTCTTCATGAGAGTTCAACTCACTGTAGCTTTTGTTGCAAAGAAAACATGTCTGTGAAGGGCAATTTAGAAGATAAATATATTGGCCAGTAACTCATTCTCAGATACCCAAAATACAGAGATGTTCTACCAAATAAATAGTCAAATGTAAAAGATAAATATTAAATGTTTTAGATTGAGGGAAGGGTTATGGAAATGTAAAGTTAAAATAGAGGAAAATAATTGCCTAGTAAAAGGGTAAGAGTAAAGGAAATTCATGATATGAGATGTATTTTGCATTGTGTTTATTGATCAATAGATAATGTTTTTGGAAAAGGGGACATTTTTACATTCCACAATGATTTATATTTCAGTATAAGCAGAGTACCTTTGACACTTTTACTAGAAATCTGAATCCTTGATTTGTGTTTTCATTCAGCATGTGTTTATTGGGTGTCTACTTTGTGTACTGAAAATAAGATAAGATGCTATTCTTTCAAATAGTTTGTATACTATTAATAGTTTAGCTTATGAACAGATAATTATTAAATAATGTGGTAACAGTATCTGTTTTGAGATTTCATTTGTTTCCCCCACTAGCCACTGTATTTGGAGTTCTTTATTATCCATTGCACTTGTTCTTACTGCATTTTTTTGGCTTATGAAGCAAATCCATACGCTTTTGTCCTTGTGTCGTGGGCTGCTTGGTAGTTTTTCCTTATACTGATGATGATCCCATTTGTGGCTTCATCTTTAGTTAGGAATAAAGGTTGTAGAAAAAGCCAGTACAAGGAGAAACTTTAATGAGGTTGTAGGATTAATAACAAAACTAGATTTTGGAGAAAGTGATGGGAATCTCATTTTTGGGACACTACATGGAATTAGAAGTCTAACAACTTTCATAAAGAAGAATTTAACATTGATCAAAGAGGTACTGATTCGTATTTTTTTATATATGTATTTATTTTATTGCTTCTGACGTATCTTTTTTGTGTCAACATATTGCTAATAGAACTCTTGGGAATCAGATGGTCATTTCAGTGTGCTATGATAGAATATATTTACGAAATGTAATGTAGTCATTTTTTTCTCCATTTTCAAAAATTACAATCTGGTGATTTTGCATGTAAATGTCCAGAAATATTTTCCCATATTATGTTAATGTTTTTAATTATACTATATTGCAAAATATCCAGCTCATACCATTTAGAAAAGAAAGTTTTTCTTTTATCTATTAGTTTCATTTCTAAATTCTGTAAGTTTGCTTACCTTTGCCATACCTCAGGATTTGATAGAGCTTTATAGTATTGTGATATGGCTAAGTTTTAGAGTAGGGCTGAGGTTACCATTGTACAGGACAGACTAGAATGAGTTCATACTCAAGGAATAGTGCTGTGTGTTAGAAACAGCCTAGCTTAAACTAGAGGTGCTGAGGAGAAGTTCTCCTTGGTAGGCCATGCCAAGGGCAGAACAGCCAGAGAACAATCCAATCAGCCTATTGTTAGTGGGAATTCAAGGTGAAAAAGCACATGGAATCTGGGATAGGATGGTGTATGTGTATAAATACCCAAATGAATGAGAACATACATGCATACATGTATGAGTGGCCACCAGAGAATTCTGCTTGTAGGTTCTGGGCTTTAAGGGCCTGATATCAGTCTTTGGGATTGGGACTGGTAATTGAAAGTAGGCATCTCCCAGTCCTAGGAAGAGACAGAGCAGGGATCAGACTAGAGGTACCTCCGAAAGTGTCAAAACAGAGGCTTGGTTATGATAACTGTGCTGTAAACCGGTTAGGAGAGCAGAAGGGGGAGGAGTAGAAAACAGGATGGGTATCAGAAAAAGCTCTTAGAAACCCTCATCATCTAATCTGAAGTATAAAGACAATGATGACTTGATCCAGAATCCAAGATTTGGGCTGAAATGGTTTAAGTATCTGTCCTATCGCAAGTCCACGTTGGCGATCTAGGGTTTAAGTGACAGGAGAAGCAAGAAACAGGCTGGGCTTGATGTTCTTTTATATACTATTAAGTATCTTTAAGGAAGAAACAATTTCGGTTGTTAATCAGTAATCATTGAGTCTGCTGAGTCTGCTGTATTGGCACTGGGCTGGCATCACGAGACGCAGAGAACTGCTGATGCTTCATAGCAACGTCTTGACGGGGAACTGCTGCTGAAGTGAACAGGCTTGAACACCGGGAGTGAATATGCCTTCTTGCAAAACAGGAGGATATGAGAAAGCATGTTAGGCATGAGGGTTCTAATGTCACAATTTGGAAGGCAAAATTATGCTCCTAGGAGTTTAGTTTCTGAGTGGGGTAAGAGGAAGCAAGGAAAAATGCATGATTTATGATAATCTGACCTTAAAATGAGAAACTCCACACCTTTCATTTACTTCCTAGAAGTCATGGTAGCAGGTTGTAGTCAGCTGACTCTTAACTAGCTTAAAGGAGGGGAAAAGGAATTTTTGGGACTCTTCCTGGGAATTGAATGATGAGCTGAGCAAGTGGGGTTTGAACAGAAGAAACCAGAGTTGCCCTGAGGGTCTGTCTCATCAGCAGGAGTTTCTGTGCCTTCTTTCTAGACTCCTGGCATTAAGGTGACTTCTTTTTAAAGGGTTTAGTCTCTTTGCTTTGCCTTTTCAGTTTTTATATACCAGCAGGAAAGGATGAGGTTAGCCCAGTTCAGGTTAGGTGTCTGTGTGTACAAGAGCCAGGAGATGCAGAGTTGTGATGATGTATGGTCATAGTCTGCCTGTGGGTGCTGGGGACCATGCCCAGAGAAGGGGGCACGCGACAGTTTGGTGCCCCCCCCAGAAGGTGTTTAAAACATCTCACTCTTGGGTAGCTTAATCCGTAATCCTTTTCCCTCTTCTTCTCTTTCCCCTTGCACCCCCCTCCCCACTTATATAAAAATGGAAATAGCCCTGCTATGTCATCTATTGATGGAGATTTTCCAGTGGGAGAAAAATCCAAATGCGAGCTGAGGTTCCATGTCCAGAGGCGGTGCCATGTTGCTGCTGACTCTGCGAATAGCATGTTGTCTCTGATCCCATTGCGATTCTTTCTTGATATTTTACCACCTTAATTTAACCACTGCCAACTCGCCGTCTGCATACTTGGGGAAAAGGAAGAGGAAATTAAAAAAAAAAAAAAAACGCATCTAAAGGAAAACACGGGTATTTATTGCACACCATTGACTAGTGAGGCAGTAAGTGGTGGCTACGATCCTTAGTTCTGCAAGTATGCACAAAGCCCTCACCTGTTTGACTTCAGATTTTATATCTCTGCTACCTTCTGCTAGTATCTGCCTTACCAGGGTTCTGTTCACCAGCATTCTGCTGAAAAATCAGAAATACAAAGCCTGTTGTTATAATAATCAGGTA